ATACCGTTCTCCTAAGAGGGGCTTCACCCGGGTGCATGGTCTTTGACGGTCCCATCATGCGATCAGTTCCCCGACAAAGTACGAGGTGATTTACTTCTTTGTCTGGACATAAGGTTTGGACTGCTTGGATCAGATCACGGTGCTGCACGACGAGAAGTCCAACTCTTTTAGCAATACGATCTACTTCTGCCATGACATTGTACCATGTCACCTCTGGGCTTCGCAATGCTATCGCAAGGGGTGATGCTTTGCTATCGATGCGACGCCTTTCTGTGGGATGTTCTTCTTCGGCCGCACCTGCAAGAACCAAGACTTGACGTCCTTTGAGACTCTTGAGGACTTGGATGATTTGTCTTGCAAACTTTCGGGGATACCTTTCTGTATACTTAGATCTCTGGAGGGACTTATTTTCATGAGGATCCCATGTTGAACCGGCTACCTGTTGATGTTCATGATCTCCCGTGCATGTTCTATCATTTAAGCTCTCGTACAGGCCTTTCGAGGTGGTCATCACATTGAGGCGTTTTCGCATCAACAACTGAGACTGAGGATCTCGGAGATTTCCCACTTTGCGCAAATCGAAGCGGCATGTTCTAGCAAAATTGCTCATCTGGACGACGGCCGGGTGTTGCAACATGACTGACCCTTCTGGTTGCTCCATATGAAAATGTCGATGTTCCATGACTTGTGCTTCAAACAGGACATGGCGCAAAGCAATCTGCCACATGTTTTCTTCTCGATCTTTCAATATGGCCTGCATGGCGTCCATTGAGCGACTCATGTTCAAGGCTGTCCATTTGCACCAAGGTCTGCGTTCGGGACTGCGCCACACATTTTCGGGCTTTTGCACACATAGTTGGAAGAACAAGCGTTTTCGATTTTGAGCTTTCTTGAGGTCTCCTTGTTCTAACCCATATCTCTGTGCTGTTAGTCCCAATTGCTCACTCTGGCGGGTCAACTCGCTCTTCGAAGAACAAAAGATCTCGAACAGAAAACATTTTCCCCCTTGTGGTTTTGCGATTGCTTGAGCTTGACGATATTCTGTTCTAAACAGGTTTAGCAGTCTTTGGTATTGGGATTTAGTCTTCGGTTCATACAATTCCCATTTACCTTCTGAGAGATGTTTTGCTGCGAAACATTCTGCTGAGATCTTCTGCCGTTCTTGGTCACTCATTGCTCTTCTTTGATCACTGTCCATGGTGAGGACGCGGCCATCTGTCGGAGATGCGTGACCACTTCGCCCATCACGGATTCCAGTCCTGCCATGCGCTGCTGGAGATCGGAGATTTCCTCGGTGTGGATCGTATGGTTGATCTCCAGGTCGGAAGGAGCATAGTTCGTCTGACTGGCATGTTTGGCCTTGGATTTGATGGCAGTCATGGGGCTCTTCTTGGGTGTGTCTGTCGTCTGAAATTCCAGCCTTTCGAACGGATTCAGTTGGGACAGATCTTCCTTGGTGGTCATCTGTTCGATCTCGGTTCGGAGGCGAACATAGTGCACGAACAATTGGTGTTCCTTCTTCTCTGATTTCTCGTACTTGGAGATGATGAAGCGGACCCATGAGAGGTCCTCGTAGGCCTTCTTGAAGGGGACACCATATTTTGCCTTCCCGAATGCTATCGGTTGATCCTCCAGCTGATCGAGTGTCATCTTGCTTATCTCGAAGAGATGCTCCTGAGAGTTTTCTTCCTACTTTGTCTTCTGGAGCTGCTTGAGCTTTGCGCTCAGGCTTATCTTCGATGACATGGCTGACGGAGACGTTCGGCGGATTGCGAGGGTTCCCAAATGAGCTTTCTTGAACCTGTGCTCTCGATCGGTCGAACGATGCATCCCGCTCCGTGGTTATGCTTTCGGACTTGCGAACGGCTGACTCGATCATGCTGTGCCGACTTCGAACTTCTTGCACACTCGGCTCAATCACATGACATGAATGTTGAGCTTTCGTTGACTTCTCCGAGATTGCTTTGTCTTCGGGCTCGGCAAGCAAGCTTTCTCTTTTGCTCCGATCAGAAGTGTCGGTTGTGGCTGCGGTCTCACACACTCCGGCCTGGTGAACCTCCGGACTTGACGTCTTGCTCTCTTGAGTGCTCCACAGATTGTTGATGTCTAACAAAAACAAATTCTTGTTGGACTGTTCAATCGGTAGGCTACAGTTTAACAGTTTGCTCCACAAGGTACCTTGTTCGGTATCTATGACTGCTTTGATATGCTTCAGAAACGAGCTGGAGAGCAAAAAAGGCGTGTTGCCCTGCACTATTGCGATCCGGATCCAGGTCTTGCAAAGCGGCAAAAGCAAAGCTGTCTTGCTCGGAAGGGTTTGATGATTTCCAAATCGAAAAATTAGGTTGCAGCTGGTCTTCCGAACTTGCTCGCGAATGTTGACTGGCAAATTGCTTAGCAATTCAGGCACCTGTTTGTGTCCTACCACAGTCTGGGAGGCACCTAGGTCTACGACTCCTATTGTTCCCGACGACGCGAACAGGCTCGTTTCGACCGTGTTCTGTGCTGTCGAGGCCATGACTCTCACTGCGGAATGCTGGTTTTCAGTCCTCAGGGGTTTTCCGGTAATGTGACTTTTGAGCTGCTTTTGAAACTTGTTTTGAAACTCTTCTATTCGCCTAGCAACTATCCCAAAACACATGGCATGATCTGCGTTCTCCTGAGGTGCTTCTTGCGGCTCTATGGAGGGAATGTCGTCAAGATCGAACATGATCGCTGCTGAGGTCGGTGCAGTGAAGGTCGACTTAAATTTTCACCTGCCTGATCATTTTGAGACTTCCTCAACGGACACTCGGCTCGCCAATGACCCTTCTGCTGGCAGTGTCTGCAGTAAGTCTCTGCGATGCGCTGTTGCAAACTCTTGAACCCTTTTCCCATTTTTCCTTTCACTCCAAAGCGTTTTCCACCACCCTTGGATGATGCACTGCCTTTGGATGAGGTCCAAAATCCTCTCGATCGAACCTTTTCTTGGAGACGCTTGCGGGCCTCTTGGTAGTTTGAGAAAAAGGCTGCGAGATCTGGATCATCTTGGACCGTGTCGGTCACACTTTGTTCAAACTGCATGACCAAGGCTGCGTCCGGATCTTCTGTGGCCAACTGTTCTATCAGCTCCTCGTCATAGTGCTCTTCAAAAAACGACCAGTTTGTACCATCATCTTCGTCTTCAGGTACTTCTTCAGCTACATTGAAAGCCGACTGGTCATATGTCTTCAAACCACGGTCCTTGCGGCCAGAAGTATATTCCTGGAAAAATGCTGAGCCCAATAGACGAACTGCTGATGTCACCTTTTGCATTGTAAGTGTCCCACCGGCTTCAGCGCCAGATTCAACCAAGACTCTCTTCTTGTCTTCGGCGGTCAACCTGCTGCCTCGTAAGACAATTAATGTATGCTTGGATCTCATGGAGCTTGACCTTCTTGGCATCTATCTTTGTCCAAGCCACATCAGCTCTTGCCAGATAGCTGTCGGAGGTTTCGTCGGCCTTTTGCGAACACTTGTACAAAGCACGTTCAACCACGTCATACTTTTTCTCTAGGTCCACCTGGCCGAATTGGCCGGTCACGATCTCGATGATCTTCTGTATTCCTTCTTTGGTCCCGGTCAGAACCTCTGCTTGACGAAGTTCCAGTTTTTGAAATGCCGACCCTTTTGTACTCAGCAGTATACGCGTTGCCAACTCCATCAGCTTTCCCTCCGGCCATGCCTTGACCAGAAGAAGCACCTTTTGGCGCCAGACTTCCACGTTGTCCGTTCCAGGATCAAATGTGGGTACCAGCTGAGCTAACTGCGTCGCAACTGAACCTTCGGTCGTCATTGGTCCCAAAGATGGTAGGCTCCGCTACCAATTTCACATGAAATTGGTAGCTTCTCAGCCAAGACAGTCCACTGTCCACAACAAAACTGGTTGGTGTCCTCACCAAAATGCTTCCTCAATGTTCAACAACCAGGATCGCCCTCAATCCACCAAATACGATTTCCGGTATGATAGTGGGGTGTCCTCACCCTTCCCACGTAGCCCAACCGCGCTGCTTTTCCTCAACAGCTCATGGCTCAACGAACCTCACCGCTCCCACCCCTGATTTGGGCCGGTGGCAAGTGCGCAGACTGGAACGCACGAACGGCATGGTTGAGCAACATGTGACCTGGAGATTCGACAATTTATAATGCGTATTGTACACACACACACATATATATATATTTATATCGCAGCAGCCCAACGACGAAACGCCCGCACCCCACGCGGACCTTTTATCGCTGGGGCTTGAGATTCCCTGACGAAGCGGCGCGGTTGGCTGGATGACTGCGTTGACACTCCTATGTATTGAGGCTTTACCGCCAGTGGAGGGCGGACTTGCAAGACTTGTCAGATCTGACAAGGCTGGCGCACAGGGTCACAGGGTGTAGTCGAATATACCACATCATGACGAAGGCGCTTGCTGCCGTCTTTCATCTCTTCGGCCGCATCTTCCGAATCGATCGCGGCGAAGAAGCGAGCCCCATGTTCCACAACAGCGGGCTTTCATCATCAACTTCACACACTCCTCTGCCTCAGCAAGAGTGTTCAACCACCTGTGCAGCAAAATGCCTGAGGTGGAGTTGAAGCCAACCATGAAAGATCGTCAACTTCCAAAACCAACGGCTCCGCGCTCAAAACAAGAAGATCGTAGCCAGTGAGTGGGAGTGTGCAACCCACAGGCAAACTCCGAATCTCACAGGGCAGTCCCCCCAAATCAAACACCGGAACCAATCCCACCGTCGAATCTCCATGGAATCGACTCGAGTACCGGTGCTGGCTGAAGGCGAGGATCTAGGAGCGCCGACATGGGGCAACGGTCTCCCGACTATCTGTTGGTGACGGCGTCACCACTGGTAGGCGTTGGGCCAAATGCTATATATATAAATAAATGTTTTTGTTTATATATATTTATATACACACACACACATTTTTGGAAGAAACTATATGCCTATTTTTTAGAATGAAACTTTTCTTTTTTTTCGAGGCGCCTGGAAGCTGAAGCGCAAGGGCCGAACCAGCTGGTATCGGTCGGATCGGTCAGACCTGTCCGTGTCTCCTCTCTTGAGACCTCAAAGCTTCAGGTGCGTTTTGGAAAATTATTTTGACACACACTTTCATTGATTAGGAAAGGAACCAATCATTAAAAAAGAACTTGTTGCGTTTGCGTCTTTGAGGTGGCAGATGCGCAACGACTTATTGAAAACATTTGCAAGAGGAGCACGGACGCGCATCTTCGCTACTGCTCGTTGGCCCCAAAGAGTAGAAGGGAAACAAAAGAGAGTGTCAAAAGGATTCAGGTTTGAAAGGAAAGAAAGAAAGGAACCTGTAAGAAAGGATTGAGAAACAGATTCCCCCTTTGTATACGTGGGAGTTCCGGACCAAACTGAGCAAGGAGCGAATCGCGACGGCCAAGTCTGCAAAGCGTGCCGTCCTTGCCTCCACTGGAAACACAGGTGACGAAACAGAGCACGCGTGTTACACCATGAAAGGGGCATGGAACTTGATTCCGAAAGGCGTTGATCTTCAAATCACATGTGTGAAACATGCGTTACCACCCCCCACTTGGGAGGCCTGCGCATCAGAGAAGGAGGACGAGATGCATTTGGGCAGCACATGGCGCGTGAACACGAATCCTCATCGGGCGCAGGGTTTTTGCAAACTCTTGGATTGTGTTTTCTCACAAAGTCGTGCGTGCACCCCATGGCCCACACAGACGTTTGTCCAGGTTCAGCGAAGAGTTTCAGGTGTGGTGAATTTCTGAGATATTTCACTTTGATTTTTGAGAAAAAGGAGGCCAAATTGAAACATCGCTGTTTTGAAGGCGTCCGAGAAGACGGATGCCTTTGATGTGTTTTTGGAGATCTTGCGGGGTGCCAGTCTCCAACGGGCAGAAATCACTGCGGCGTTGGGTCAGGAGTTCGTCTACGTCAGAAGGACGGCCACTTCGCCCTATGATTTGGAGTTGGTGCCGTTCGCAGAGGAACTGAACTATGCCACTCTGAGCCCAGCTGGCTTGACGCATTATGTCCATGGTGAACCAAAATCCTTTGTACCTCTGCAACGGTGGCTGAATGAACGCCGCTCCTATCACGCTTTGCGACAGCTCCGCTTCTTCCAGGAGACCCACGAGCCCGAGGCAGTTTCCCTAAATGGAACCTATCCGTTGGAAGCGGAGCTTGTTTAGTCTTTGTGTCGGTTGTGTGGCGTTTTTCCGTCGGTCGCTTCAGGACTTTCCAGCACAGAAGGCTTTCATCAGTTGGAGATCTGCCGGCCGCCGAGGGCGTATGGTGAAAGCTGGACAGGTCCTCGAGGAAAGAATCTTTGCGCTTCATCCTTGGTTCAGTTTCTTGGAGAAGTAAATGCAGAACCAAGGTTCAAGCACTCAGCTCAAACTGCATCCTTGGAAAGAGTCTTGTTGTTGTCTGAGGCAACACATATGCGGTGGTGATGAGGATGTTTCAAGATGTTGCAAACTTCCGATGCCTTCGTTCATACTTCGCTCAGCCTTTAACTCTTCGAGAGTTTCAAGTGGCGCAGCAAAATTGGCAGCATGACTTGTTCGAAAAAGCCAAGCACGTGGCGCAAAAGCTCCAATCTGCCCCTTGGCAAGGAGCGAGCAAGCCATCGCTCTTAGTAGTAGGGGGAACTTAAGTTTCCCAACAAATCTATGAACCAAATGAAGAGTGCGTGAGCTATCCTGCGTCCTAGGTAGTAGCTACATAAGCTACTAGCTACCTAGCTTCTACTAGCCTAGTTACCTCCACGGCCTACCCCCCCGGCAAAAAAATGTGATTTATCTATTTAAGCCTCGCAACTCTGGAGTCACAAGTCTCGAGAACCCGGTTTTGCGCGAAGCCAAGCAAGCGTACTTGAGCGTTCTTTCCATTCCTTTCGCAGATTTGATTTCTTTTTTCCGGATCACGCGGTGTGGCCCAGTGGCCAGTAAGGGTGATCCGGTAGTCTTAGCTGGTTCTTGGCAGGGGGTTTTCCTGTGTTGACCGAATTTTGATTTAAGATGTTGATGTCAGGAGTGACTTTCTGTTCAGTTTGATGCAAGTGGATTGCTTGCTGTTCTGTTTTCTTTTTCTTTTGCTATGTCGGGCGACACATCGTCCGACTCGCCCGATGAGCTGTCTGCATACAGCGACCCTCAGTTGTGGAAAAGATTGCCGCGCAAATTTCGGACTGAGCTGGGCGAAGCTGGTGGTACCCAGCCTGGAGATGAGGTCCTTGCATTTTTGACTGACACTCGCAGCGAACTAGGCCAGCTCATGGAGAGATTTTCTGGACCCGTGGACTCTGCGGAGCATACAGCTGCACGCGACCTCTTCGAGGAACTGCAAAGGCGTGCTCGTGATAGAGCTGCTTGGGCCATTAAGCGCCGTGCGGGGCTGGACCCTGCGCTGCAGCAACCGCGGGTGATGCAAAAGGTGGCGCATCGTGCTCTGCCTGATCAGGGGCTGCAAGACACGGTTTCCTGGCTGCGAAAACAATCTGGCGCAAAAAGCAGGTGTGACTTGCGGGTTTCACATCGTGCCACAACTCGATCAGATCAATCACGTGCGGCGCGGGAAGCGGCTGAGCTCCTGCGATGGCGCTCGGAGTTAGCAGACTTGATTGCTGAGGCGAAGCTTCCCTTGGCTATGCAAGCTCGTAACTGTCGTGAACCTGACAAAATCATCAGCTCGGCCCTCGGTGGTATGCGTGCTAGTACCATCAAAGCCAAATTAAGGGAATGGTGCAAATTGCGCGCTTACTCGCTAGGAGTGGCTGGGATTGCATGGCCTCCAAATTTGGGCATCGTCCTGGAATATATTCAAGAAAGGGTCGCTGAGCCTTGTGCGCGAACTGTGCCTCATTCAGTTTTAGCTGCCTTTAGCTTTATGGAGAAAGCTGGTGGCGTGGCAGTTCGTGACCGTGTTTCTGGAGAGCAAGTTCTCAGAAATTTTGTTGATCAGAGCACCATGGATCTAGAGGGGGGTGCCCCCCCGAAGCGGAATTCTCCGCTATTGCCTTTGAAATTGCTTGGTGCCTTGGAGCTGTTGGTTGTTGATTCCTCCCATCGACAATTTTTGCAAAAGCAGCTTTGTTAAACCAGCCACATCCCCATAGTCAGCCATGCACTTCCGAACACCTTCCCAATCAGAGCGAGGGAGAGGCAGACAATAGTCGCGGTCAAAATTCATATCAGCACGTCTCCATACATCTAGACCAATGGAAAGCCAAGACGGCGCCATGAAAAATGCTGACTTGCTCACAAACACGGGCAGATGCCGCGCGCGTTTGCCTGGACCAGTGGTTTTTGCGCGCTCCAAGCAACCCACTAATCCAGGAGTTCACCGCAAGGAAACGGGATTCAGACCCGATAGGTCATGCAAGCGAGCAGCTGTCCATAGTTTGAAAAGTTTGAAAAATGCTAGCCCCCGAGCGTATAAAAAGTGCCGATTTGGTCACGGGGAGTGTAGATCCAAAGTGATTCTCCTTTGCTTCTAGTGGAAGAAGCCTTCAAGTTTTGGACTGAGCACAGTGAACGGAATTGGCTGGTTTCTCTATTACTAGCAGTCTTAGGCGTGCCCCCGAATGAACGCAATTTCATCGGGAGGTGGAACATCACCACATCTGCAGACGAATATCTTCGGACTTCTCAGCAGGTCTTGGTCAACCTGCAGGAAAAAGTTGTAGCAAGTCTACGCGGGGAAGACCGTTGGGGCCTTCGGGAGTCTGGCATTGACGAGCTGATTCAAAGCATTGTTGAGAAGGGCGGCAGTGTGGAGCTTGCGGCCCAACATCGCAAAGTTCTATGGCTGGACCCCAAATTTGCCGGTGGTTTGGGATTGGAGCCTACTTTCCCTGATCCTGCCCCAGCAGCTCTAGCTCCGCCTGAGGAATGTCAAGACACAGACGAATGCTGCAGCCCAAGCGATTGCGGCGCCTCCACCGACGTAATGGGTGCGGGGTTTCCATGGTTGATGTGCAGTGCTCCGAAGATATGTGGACATTGCGCGGCCTCCTATATGATCTCGCGTGCAAACATTGCTGGCGGGCTGGCGAGAACATCACTGTGTCTGAAGCTGAGGAAGGAGATGACTCCGAGCAGTCGGCCGCTTCAAATGATTGATCGACGCATGTTTATCGGCCCCAAGTGGCAGTCAACCCGACATCTCTGTTTCACCTCTAGGAGGGCGTTTTTCGCGCGTTTGGCGCGTGTCTTTTGTGCGCTGATAGGCGCACGTTTCCCCATTTTTGTGCGTTGGATTGACGCATGTTTTTTAGCACACCTGGAGTGAGTGTGTGTTTCTGGCACGGGGTTCCCTTTCGGGCATGGTGTAGGTGCGCTGGGTTTGTTTGCACGCTTTAGTTTTTAAAGCGTGTGCTGGATCCTGGGGTCACGACCGGGGAGATGCCGCCGCCGCAGCCATGTTTTTGGTACCCTTGATTTATTTTCTGTTTCGGCGTTTGTCCGTCATGGCCTGCGCCGATTCTGCTTTGCTTTTCCTCATGGATGAAGCTGGGGTCAGTTCTGACACCACGGAATACGCCGCCATGAGGTCCGCAGTGGAAGCTATGCAAGGCAGCCTTCGTGACAAAGAGGCTCCCAGCAAAAGTTTGGTGGCTTCAAAGCTCGAGCAATTGGAAGATGGCGCACCAGTTGCTTGCGGGAAGCCACCTCCTTTGAAGATTCTGCAGTGGAAGCTTACAGCGCCGTGGCGGACCCGGGCTCCAACTTCCTGCGGATTCGGCCGGGCAAAAGCACTACAACGCCGCCGAGCAATCCCGAGGAACTACGACTCCGCCATCGGCTTGTGAAGTCTCGGCGTGCTAATCGGGCTTGGATCAATGCTTCTATTGTGGATGACTTCCGCAAATTGTCCGATCATGTCTTGGGCTCTACAGTGGCTGAGCTTCGCGCTTCCGCAGGTGTTGGGCCCAGTTGGTCTTTGGAGCTTAGAAAGTCTGCATATATCGGTATGTGCGTGACAATGTCTGTGCGGACATCGGAACAGCCTTGGCCAAGGCGTGTGAAGCCCCGGCATTGTACGGAGTACATTTTGCCACTCCATTGCAGCTTGGCAAGTTGGACCATGGAGATTCCGGTGCTTGGCCCCCAGTACATCGCTTGGAAAAGGCGAAGGCAAAGGCAAGAACAAGGGCAAGGGTCGCGACATGTGGGACCGCCAATGGGGAAGAGCCGCTTCTGCTCCGGATGGTCAACGCATTTGCTTCAATTTTAACAAAGTCAGCGGCTGCAAAAAGCAACGGTGTGATTTTGCCCATGTTTGGCGCTTCGGGAAACATTCGTTCCAGTAATGCAAGTACAAGGGCAGTAAGTCCCCTACGGAGGTCGAGGCCGAGCCTTGGCTAGAGGATTTGGGCCCTGCCACTCCGTCGCCGGTGGTTGGGAGCAGTCAAGCGCAGAGTGGCGACAATTTTGGCAGCATGGATGAGGAAGCTGCAAGAGATGAGGCTGAGTATGAGGAAGGTGGTGCATCCATTTGCAAAGTGTCAGGGGCCAGGGCCCTCCATTGTTCTGCAAGTTTAATGGGAAGCGCAAGACTTTCACAGATGGTTTTGGGCTATGTTCGCCTGGGCGCTGGAGTCCTGAGATGAGGCAAGACACTTGCGACAATCCAAACCTGCATTTTCATTATTTGCTTGGTCGTCGTTTGCTTCGACATTTGCAGCATTGTTTGGATGTGCGCAAGATTGGTTTTCTTCTTGCTTCTGGAAAAGTCACCAGCTGCCCTTTCAGCGATGATTTACTGCAGAGTGGTCGCGAGAAAATTTTTGCAGAGTTGCGGAAGGCAAATTGCAAAGCGCCCGTTGAAGAGCAAGCTGAGGGGCAGCCCTTTTATCTATGCGCGCTAGAAGCAATATTGGATTTAGCTGGAGACCCAGATGCAGCAGCGTACCACAGTGGGACTAACTCCTTTGCAGAAGGGGTGCCGTTAGGAGTTGACTGCACTTTGCCTCGTGTACCAGCTTTGTTTACTGCCAAGCAACACTGGCTCTGTTACGAGCACATCCAGGAAGAAGCCGGCGTGCGGGAAAATTACATCACAGCCAAAGAGCATCGGGATGTTGTGCAAAAGCAGTTTGAAAGCGAAGCTGAGCTGGGCGCGATGGAGGAGACAAATTTTGCGCAGGCAGAAAAGGAATTGGGAAAAATTGGAATTGCGTCTCTGGGTGCTCTGGAAAAATCAGATGGAAGCTTTCGGGTCATCCATGATGCGACGCATGGGCTGGCAGTGAACGCCAAGATCAAAGTGTTGGATCAAGTGCTGAGCCCTACGGCCATCGATTCGCCGTGCAGTACAAGTGCTTCCAAAGGCATTCTTTGCACTGAAGGGTGATGCCAGCAGAGCCCACAGACGGGTGAACATAGATCGGCGGGATTGGCGCTACCTGGCTTGCAAAACTGATGTCAACCCTGGCGTGATATGGAGCAACAAAGTGGGGACTTTCGGGGTTGCGTCTGCGGCTTACCACTGGAACAGGTTGATGTCAGGGCGTGGCCGCGCTGCGTTCTACATGCTTGGCAAGAGCGGGATCACGCAGCTGGTCTATGTGGATGACCTCCTGTGGTCGGTGGGCGAGAAGGGCGGCGTCGAACTGTTGGTCATGGTTATCTACTTCTATGCACTTATAGGATTGCCCTTCTCTTGGAAAAAGTTTGCTGGCGGTTTGACTTGCACATGGGTTGGTTTTGAAGTGATGCTGGCTGAAAGGATGCTGGGTTTGACAGAGGCGCGAGCTGCTTGGTTATCAGGGTGGAAGCGCGGGAAGTTCGCGCAGCAGACTTGCGGGCTGTTTTGGGGCGTCTCTGCTTTGCCTGCAGTGCTTTGTCAAACTACAGAGCATTCTTGGGACCACTGTTTGCCTGGACGGCAGCCTTGATCAAATTTGAACACAGACCTTTGCCAAAGATGGTGTTGCTGATCATGGGATTCCTCAGCAAAGCGTTGGCTGGTGGACACAGGGTGCAAGCTGTTGGAACAGGGCAGAGTGATTTTTCGAACTGATGCAAGAGCAGAAGGTTCAGAAATTTGGATTGGTGGTTGGGCCTTGGATCATTCTGACTTGCGGCAGTGCCGCTGGTTTGCCGAACGCCTAGATCATCAAGGCGCCAGCTGGGTGGCCACGGCGGGAGAGAGCTATCGATCAATTGCATCATTGGAGCTGCTGGCAACCCTTGCGGCGGTGGTGCTGTTTCGAACCTGGCGGCGGCGATGGTGTTGCAGGATGCTGCTCAGCTGGGACAGACAACAAAGGTAACAGCCACATGGTGTCACGGTGCATGACAACAAAGTTCCCTTTGTGCGTGTTCAATATGGAGTTGGCGGTGCAATTGCAAAAGAGAGGAGCAGAACTACATCTTCACTGGCTGCCTAGGCTTCAGAATGTGGAAGCAGACCAACTCACGAATGCTGACTTCAGCGGTTTCGCAGATTCGAAGCGGAAGCTGAATGAGTTTCGTGGGGAGGTGCTGGCAGATGCGCTGGAGTTTGGGATAGATTTCTATGAAGAGGTGAAATCTGCAAAGGCGAGAAAGGACAGAAATCATCCGGCCAAGAAAGCAAGGAAGGGGGAGTGTTTGCGAGACACAGACCCCTGGTAAGGTCGGCGCTTGCTCTGCGAGAAGGGAGAGATGGCCGCAGTGCCGACTGTGGTGACATTTTGTCAGCAATAAGCTGATGCAGATTTGTCAGCCTTAGTTGAGCTGATGGCTGTTTCAGTTCCATCATCTTCGCTAAAAAGAGCGTTAACTGTTTGGCAGTGGGAGACGAGTTGGCTTGTTGACTATTGCATTCTTGTGCCTGCAGGTTCTCGTTTAGCTCTC